CCGGGCCGCGCCGTGCTGGGCCGCGCCGTGCCCGGCCGGGCGGCGGCTGCGAGAGGAGGCCGGAGGCGAGCGCGGGGCCGGCGGTGGGCGCGCAGGGTCGCCCGCAGCCCGCAGGGAGAGCGCGAGCCCGCGGCGGGGCCCGGCCGGGCGTCCAGACAGGTGATGGGTGGTGCGGCGGCGGCGGCTCCAGCCTCGCTCCGGGGTCCCTCTCGGGGCTGACGCCCGCAAATATGCAGAATTACCGGCCGGGTCGCTCCTAAAGCCAGCGCCGGGGAGCGAGCACGGCGGCGGCCAGCACCGGGAACGCACCAAGGAAGAGGCCCAGCCCCCGCCCTCCGCCCCTTCCGTCCCCACCCCCTACCCGGCGGCCCAGGAGGCTCCCGGCGCGGCGGGCGCGGCGAGCGCGCACTCCCTGCTCCTCCTCCTCGCTGGCGCTGCCTGCCTCTCCGCACTCGCTGCTCGCGCCGGGCGCGCTCCGCCGGCTCCCTGCTCTCCGCGCCACCCTCCTCCGGGCCGCGCTCCCTGAGGGATGGTACTGAATTTCGCCGCCACAGGAGCCCGGCTGGAGCGCCCGCCCCGCGGCCTCGCCTCCCCGCCGAGCCGCCAGCGCCTCGGGACGCGATGAGGACCTGGGCTTGCCTGCTACTCCTCGGCTGCGGATACCTCGCCCATGCCCTGGCCGAGGTGGGTGCCACCCCCGCGCCCCGTCCCCTCTCCGACTCCCCCGGCGCACGCCCCCTGCAACCACCCGCGGGCCGGGGCGCCTCGGGCTCTGGGGATCTGCAGATTTCTGCTAGGGTGGTCGATTTTTTGATTTTTCCAACTGGGTTTTATTTTCTGCCATACTGAAGTGTGTCTGGTGAGTTTCCAGCGTGTTGCGTCGCTCTGCCTTGGAGGGACGGAGTGGCGCGGGGTGGACGAGTGGGGAGAAACTTCGGGGGGCGCGGGCTCCTCTCCAGGGAGGGGAGCCAGGGGCGCGGCGGACAATGCAGTATCGGGGTGGGGGGAGCGCGGAAGGGGGTGTGTGTGACCTGGCGGAACCAGGGAGGGGAGAAGAGCGGCGGATAAACAGGGGCGGCTGCGGCGGAAGCCCCCGGCAGGCAGGGTGGGCGGTGCGGGGCCGCAGCCCCCCCCTCCCCCCCGGTCCCTGTCTCTGAGCCTGGCCGGGCGGCTCGGCCGGCGCAGTCCCGCCCGCCCAGGGCCTGCTTACAGGTGGCTGAGCGAGACGAGCCGGGGCCGGGCCAGGCGCCCGCGTCCTCCCACCGCCGGCGTCCCCCCCCCCCGCCCCCCATGTCGAATCCCGAATCCCCGGGAGCTCTGCTGTGATGAATGACTTTCTGCAGCCCCCGTCGTGGGAACTTAGTGCTTGAAACCCCTCCCTCCCACACCCACACCCACCCAGCGACCCCCGACTCCCTTTAAAAATCTGGAGGGAGTGGGGGGAGCCCGCGAGGTGGGGGTGGTCTGGGCAGGGATCGAGAGCTGCGAGAGGTGGAGATTTAACCCTCCCATTGCCGGGCAGCCTCTCCCAGCCGCCCGCTGGATTTGGAGCGTCTTGGGCGGTGCTAGGGCCGCGGCCGGGCCGGAGCGGGTGGGGCGCGCGTGTGAACGAGTGAATGCGCGCGCGCGCGTGTTTTTGCGACGGAGACCCTTGACCCCGCAGGTTCGGCCCGGGATTCCGGGGTGTGAAATTTAAGCCCCTGGCTAGATTAAAGTGTTAAGGCTGCCGTGACTTTCGTCGCCGATCCGTGACGCATTTCAACTTGATCTTTCTGCATGTCGATTTCACTATTAAATCAAACTCCTCGGGCCCCTCGCTGCCCCTAGACCTCCTGTAACTGACACCCGGGGCGGAGGGGCCGCGGTGCCGGGCTTTTGTTTGAAAATTTAAAGGTGGGAGGGGTTGCCTTCTGCAAAGGCGGACCTGGATGGGGGCCGAGAATTTGGGTCGCACCCAGTCCCCCTCCCCCCCCCCTTCGGCGTCTGACTCCAGGGTCCCGGGCGGGGGCCGGGCGGCCCGCGAGCTGCGAGGGCCTGGGACTCGGGGCCGGGCAACCTCGGCTGGGGGACCGGGCCGCTCTCGGGGGCGGGGGGCGCGGGGCGCGGGACGCGAGCTGGCCGGGTGGCGGGCGCTGACCGTGTGGCTCTGTTTGCAGGAAGCCGAGATCCCCCGCGAGGTGATTGAGAGGCTGGCACACAGTCAGATCCACAGCATCCGGGACCTCCAGCGACTCCTGGAGATAGACTCCGTAGGTAAATCGCGCCCCTTCCCTCGGCGCGCGGGGCGGGTGTGCGGGGTGTGCGCCCCGCGCCGCCTCCCGCGCTCGGGCCGGGCCGGGCGCCGCGCAGGAGCGCACCGAAAGGTCAGAATCCAATCCCGGGCCATAAAAGCCCAGGCGGATGAGTCAGGAGTTTCTCTTCCAATCCCCACTTTCTCTCTCGGCGGCGGCCGCGAGCTGCTCGCTCGCCCGGGGATTGTTTTTGCATTTAAGGAAAATGCCGCGCGCGTGTCACAGAAAGTTCAGCGGCGTAGAGGGCGCCGGCGCTGGGGCCAGGTGTGCGGGCCCCGGGCCTGCCCTGTGGGGCCGGGAGGAGCGGCGGAGCGGAGCGGGCCGGGGCCTGGGCGCAGAGCCCTGGCCTCACGCCCCGCGGGCAGGCGCGAGGGAGGAGCCGCCCCCCGGGCCGGGCCGCTTTGTCACCGCCGCGAGCCGGTGCCCCGCTCCTGCGGCGGCCCAGCCTTTGTGGTTGCAGGAGACCCGTGCCTTTCTCTTTTCACAGGCCAATAAAAAGGCACATCTTGGACACATCTGGTGTCTGGGGACTGTTTGGGGGCTCACCCTCGGGCTGTGGAGCCTAGGCACTTTAGAAAATAGTTTATTTGTAAATGCGGAGCTTTGAAGCTGGTTGGTGTGGGTTTTGGAGTTGGAGGGGACTGGTGGGGAAGGGTTGCCAGGGACCCAGGTTGTCCCTGGTGGGGTGGGAGCTGGTGGTTTTGGTGGCTGCGGTGTGACCGGAGGGAGCCTTTTCCTAGACGGCAGGGATTCTGGCCCACATCTTTGTGGTATCCTGCTCCAAATTAATACTCGGTGGGGGAACACCCATGCGAGGGTTAGTTACAGAAATACGTCTTATTAACGTCTGGTTAAAAAAGAGGCCCAAAATGGGCTTGTCAGACAGAAGGCTGAAGGTGGTAGAGGTTGGTTGGAACAATTTTCAGTGAAGATTTCACTCTCGCTGCAGACTACCCTCAAAGGGGGGGCGGGGGGAGAATTAAGTAAAATCACATGGTCTAGTCATTTGGAAATTTGTACCTAATTATGGTGGTGGAGAGGCCTGAACTATTTTCATTTCATGCCAAGACCATTTGCTAGCAAGGCCGATGGTTTCTGTAGTTTCGTGACCCAGGAAATCCTTTGGCTGATCCTTATCAGGAAGGGGGTAGAATTTCACTTGGAGATCAGAGTTGGGCCAGGGGGGATTTTGGTCTGGTTCCTTGATGTGTAACCCTGGGGAGAAGGGTTTGGCTTTGGTTAGCTGAGGAAAACACTCGCCTACATTCTGCTGGTCCCTGGCACATCTGTGAAAGTGGGGAGGCCGCCTCCCTGAGAAGATTCAGGGCCTTTTTTTTTTTTTTTTTTTTTTTTTTTGGCTTGGTGGAGCGAGGTTTGGTGCAGGGCTGGGCCTCCCTGTGGGACGGCTTTGGGATGCCACCGGGAAATGGGCCATTCACTTTCTGTTGGGACCATTCTTATTCTGGTCTCTGCAGCCCCGCCCCCCCACCCCCCACCCCCCACCCATTAACACTTTTTGCATTGCAGCGTGGTGGGTTATGCTGATGGCATTCCTGACCCTGGGGACTTTCGGGCCCAGAGCCTCTCTGGGAGGGTCCAAACCAAAAAAAGGATGCACCCGCTAGTTCCCTGGCTGGTTTCAAATTGCTCCCTTATAAAAAGGCCTGGGTGCTCGTACACCTCCTGCCCACCCCCCACCCGACCTCCCCGCCCCTGCCTTCCACCTTCTGTCACATGGTTTGGGGTCTGACTAGGATTCTGGGGTAGAATTCCTGCCTGGGAAACTGGAGTGAGAAGAGGGGGGTTTCTAGGACCTTCTTTGCTCACTAGCTTCCCCCCTAGGAGGCCCTGTGTGACACCGATCCCAAAGTGGGGTCTCCGTCCCGGCCTGGTGCCCTCTCACAGGGGGAAGTTGCGAGCCAGGGCAGTGCTGGTCTCTTGAGCACAGAAGCTGCCACTGGATGCTCCTAGATAGAGCTCACGTTGTCCTCTTTCCCCCAACACCTGTTCCCGCCCAAAGTGAAGAGTTGAAACAGATCTTGCAACTGTGGAAGGTCGTAAACAGCTGAGGGGCCAATGATCTGGGGACTAAGCTGCTCTCCAGGCCCCGGACCCCCGTGAGGTCCAGTTGGAGGCCTGCCTGGGATCCCTGAGGAAGGAGCTGGGGTGTGGAGGAACCCATTTGGTAGTCCTAAATCCCTCTTTGTAACTCCAAGGGTGGACCGGCCCCTTCAGGTTGGTGTTTTGGGTGTAGAGCTAATCAGGCCCGGGAAGCAGAAAAGGCTTTTTCTTACAGGCCCTCTCCTCCCTGGCAGGGCTTTGTGATGGACTCTGGATGGGACCCTGGTTGGGACAGTGGGCGGCTGCGTCCCCATTTTACAGATGAAGCCGGAGGTGGTTGAGGACAGCAGCAGTGAGGACGGCACTGAGTCTGAGAATCCCCAGGGTGTGCGTGGAGCTCAGGGGTAGCTGACTTTCCACGTGGGGCTTTTGGGTGCAGAGACCAGCGTGTGGTCTCTGAATGACCAGTGGCTGGAGTTTGGGACCTGTGCGTCGAGTGTGATGAGAAACCAGCCATTCAGCGGTGAGGCGGCCAGGGGGGAGCTTTGTTCTCCAAGCAGCCTGGTCTGGTGCCCGGGCGGTGGGGTCACTCAGTAACAGATGCATGAATGTCCCCATCTTGCTTGGGCCATTAATGCTCCACCAGGACTGAAGGCCGGAGGACTTGTCCCCTTCCTGAGCTGTCACTTGGGCATTTGTGCATGCAAGACAAAAGGGAAACCCCCTTGATTAGCTGTCCTGAGAGCAGCTTTAGGACCTCATTCAGGCGGGGCCTTCTCTCCTAAGTCACTGCTGGGTCATTTCTCAAGCAGTGTCAGGCTGCAGGCCGCCCCCCATCAGCGTGGAACGGCGACCACCCATCTTGATCAGGGGGCAGAGGAGGGCTCTCATCTTGAAAGCAGTCCGCCCGCCGGTTCAGATTTCAGCGCTGGCCATCAGCTGGCCGGGCTGTGGTCTTCTCTGCCCGTCCAGGCGAGCGGCCAGGACGGGGCTCCCGGCAGCTCCTGCAGTCACATCCTTGCTCGTCATCCGCGTCAGGTCCTGCAGACGCGTTGGGATCGAGGCATCCGCGGAGCGGTTCATGCCTGGTTTTCGGGAGGCTGGGAAGATGGTGGCCGACGGGGCGTTTTCTCCTGGAGGCCGAGGGTGGGCCAGCAGGTCTTTGGTTTGAGGGTAGCAAGATGGCTTCCACCAGGACGTGACTCACAGATGTCACTTTTCCGTGAAAAAATGTTTCTTGGAACAGTTGGTTGATGGGAAATTCTTATTGCATGAATAGTCGTGTTCTGATCTTATTTTGGGTCTCAAAAAAATTAGTGGCAGTGGAACATTGAGTCATTTTAAGTGAGAAGCTGGGTTCTTCCCAGACTCTAGTTTTCGGAAAGGGCGCATCTTTTGCTGTTTGTACCTTTTGCCTGGTTGTCGGTTTTCATTTTAAGTGAGCAGTGGTTTTGGATTTGTTGGTTTGTGGACAGTCGCTGAGGCCCCGGTGGGCCAGGCACGCAGGAGGGGGCCTGTGGTCCGGGCTGCTGGCCAGGACGCCGCTTGAGCTTGTCAGGGAAGGGACAGCAGCCCACGGGGGAGGTCTGCACAGCTGTGGGGGCATGCTTCTCAGGACCCGGTGCCCCTGCTCATCCACTGGGGAGCCAGGGACGGAGGGGGAAGTAGAAAGAGACCTCCCCCAGCTGGGTCTGCGGGCCAAGGCGGGCAGGCCAGGGGTGACCCACCTCATCCAGGTGCAGGCAGTGTCACCGGGGCAGGCCGGGTCCAGTGGCAGGTGGCAGGACTCTGTGTCCCTCCCACCCCACATTTCCCTTCTAGGAATCTGAGAGACCTGGGACTCCCCTAGGCTGCCCAGGGGCACTGGGGCGGGCGAGGGTGATGGTGTGTGTACCAGGTGCCGTTGCAGGCCTGGGGGATTAGGGTCCAGTTCTGATTTTAACCCTGGGACTGTGGGTCCGCGTCTGAGGGGCAGCACGCTTTGCTTCTGCCAGCCCGCCCCCTCTGCCGGGCACCAGGGTTCCTGCCCCTTTACTTTCCCCACTTGCATTTCCTGTGGCCTCCGAGTGGACTAACTTCAGGAGCAAGCGGAGTTCAGCTGTCGGCCCAGAGCTGGTTTAGTAAGAAGAGGGAGAGAAAGACACGCGCGCTCAGCAGGGAAGTCATGGCAGCGCATGCGCTTCTCCTTCAGTGCCGTCGGAGGGGCCCTGTCCCCGGGGCCCTTCCGAGGAGGTGGGCCTGCCTGGGAGCAGCCGGCCTGGTAGTTCTGGGTATTACGGCGGAGGAAGGCCAGCCCTCACTCACCTGGGGAGATCACCCGCCCCTTCCGCACCGATTGCACAGGTCCGTAGCTCTGCTGCAGAGCGCAGCAGGGGTGCCACATTTGGGGGACCTCCGTGTAGGCTTCCCAGAGGTCGGCGGGTGATTTTTGGCAGTTGGGAGTCTTTCATCCTCTGCATACGTGGGAGTGGCGTGTCCCCCCGGGGACCCTGTCTGTCTGGGGGAGGCAGGTAGGAAGCGCTGCTGGACAGGCCCCGGGGTGCCCCACAGATGTGGACCGGCTGGTCACCATTTCCTCTTTCTATCTGTAGGGGCCGAGGATGCTTTGGAAGCGAGTCTGAGAGCCCACGGGGGCCATGCCACCAAGCATGCACCTGAGGAGCCGCCCGTGCCCATCCGGAGGAAAAGAAGCATTGGTGAGCCCTGGGTCTGCCGGGTGGGGAGGGGGCGCTGGGGGGCTCTCGCCCACTGGGCCTTCAGGGGAGTCATCCCTTCGCCCCTCCGTAAAACAAAGGCCCAGGGGCCCCAGCGGCTTCAGCCCCAGCCGCCCGCCGTCTCTCCGGAGGCCTCCCTCCTCTGCCGGGGGCGCCTCCCTGCCCCGGCCCGTCTGCTGCTTGCTGCTTGCTGCAGCCTGGCCTGGGCCAAGAGTTTCCAGGAGAGGAGAGCCATCATAAATTCCTTAAGTGCCCGGTCTTGTTGGGGCCTGTTCTGGAGGAGGCCTCGCTGCAAACGTGGTCGTGTTTCCTTTCCAATCTGTAGTGTGGTGGCCTGGCTGGCAGCCACGGAATGGGCCTCCAGCAGACGCCCCTGCCCATGGCCCCCACCCCACTCACCGGGCGTGGGTTTGCGGGGTGTTTGCATCCTGTTCTCTAGCAGAGTACCCCCATGTCTGTCTGGCCCCTTGAGGCTGCAAGGGGTTTCCGGGGCTCTGGCTCAGCTCTGAGAGAGATCTTGGCCTGCACTTTCCTGCCCTGGGAGCAGGGCTCTGGGGGTACGACCCCCCCCGAGTCCTGTGCCACCCTGGGGGTTCCTCCTGCTTTTCCTAACTGCCTGGGTGTGCGCCCCCCACACTGCTCTTCCCTGCTGCATGCCCTTGGGCAGTGACTGCCCCCTCTGAGCTTTAAATTCCTCCCAGAAGGTAGATTTCGTAGCTTCTTGCCTCAGCATGGTGTGTGGGTGAGGAGTCCTCCTGAAGGCAGGTGGGCCCACCCAGACGACGTTTATTGTAGAACTGTAGATTTCCTGTTCTCCAGCCCAGTGTCAGAGGTGAGGGCGCTTCAGCAGGCCTGTCCTGTTCCAGATGGGGAGCCCTGGACTGTCTCTCTGGCTCCACCCTCGGCCCCGCCTGGCCAGGGTCCCCAGGCCCCTCACAGCCAGTGGGCCCTGGGCTGCTTGCCGTGAGCAGAGCCCTTTCCTGCACTGGAGTGGCCAGATCTCCAGCACCTGGCCTTCCTTGTTGGCAGGCCTGCTCTGGGAGACCCCGTGTGCCCCCTCTCCAGGTGCTCCCAGGCCACCGGGGAGGATGCAAGTACCCCCAGTCTCCCAGGGCTCTCAGGTCTTCTGGCCCCTGTGGGGGGACGGGCAAGAGAGAGGTTGGCACCCCTCCCTGGTGCTGGGGCAAGGCCTCTGTTGTCCTTTGATTGCATTTCAGGCTCTTCTGCTTGTCTGCAGAGGACGGGGCCCTGCCTGGTGCTGGCCACGGGGGTCGTGCCAGCCCCTCTGCGGCCAGGAGTGGCTCCCTCCAGTTCTGGGCTCTGGGGGCCTGCCTGCCCGGCCCCGCATTACTCAAGGCCCAGTGGGCCTAGGGGCCGGCGTGGATTAGTAAGGCAGCATGTGGGGAGGAAGGTGCATGTGCTGGGGTCCCCAGGTGGATTTCTCATCGGGCAGTGGTGCCCTGGTATCCACTGCATTTCGGGGCTTCGGGTCGGATGGATCGGCCTGTGCTGAGGAGCACAGACTGGAAGGTAGAGCCAGTCCCTCCTGGGAGGTCGGCCTCCCAGCTGGCGGGGTGCTCTCTTGGTGGCCTTTAGTGAGCAGGTCTGCGGCCGGTGGGCTGGGGAGGCAGGCCTGAGTCCTGCGTCCCGCATCCTGCATCCGCTGCCCGTCTCGGGTGTCTTCCCTTCCTGGGCCTGGCCTGGGGGCTGTGGCAGTTGGTGGCGCTGGGCCCTGATGTGTCCACTGGCTGTGGGGCCTGTTGCCCTCCTGCCTTGGGGCCTCCCTGCCTGGCCCTCACTTCTGCTCCTCCTTGGGCCAGGCCAAATGCACCGAGTCGGGGGCCTGGGTGTCTCCATCTCTGCTGGGCGCTGGGGTGGTGCGATGTGCCACAGGGACGAAGCGGCAGCCGTGGGGGGACACGCCCCCTTTAGGGCTTGAGGCCACAGGGTGGGCCTGGGTGCTGCCGGGACGGCCCGTGCGTTCACCTTGGCTCTTGCTCTGCAGAGGAAGCCATCCCTGCAGTCTGCAAGACCAGGACGGTCATTTACGAGATACCTCGGAGCCAGGTCGACCCCACGTCTGCCAACTTCCTGATTTGGCCCCCGTGCGTGGAGGTGAAGCGCTGTGCGGGCTGTTGCAACACCAGCAGCGTCAAGTGTCAGCCTTCCCGCGTTCATCACCGCAGCGTCAAGGTGAGCCCTGGGCCCCACCCTGGGGTGCCCCGAGACTGATGTGGCCGACAACACACGAGGCCCCGGGTGCAGAGCAGGCTGGTGGTAGAGCTGGGACGTGGGACTGGACCGGCTGCTGGGGGGTGGGCTTCTGGTCCCCCCGCCGCCACTGCAAGCAGCCTCCCCCACGAAGTGACAACGCAGAAGGATCTCACGGGTTGTGTGCGTGCTGCCTGCTGTCTCCCCCAAGCCCCGGAGAGTTTTTGCAGGCGCTTGAGCGGAGCTGTGGTGCATGGCAAGAGGGGTCGGGGTCCTCTCAGAGCCTCTCCCCAGAAGCACATGGAAAACAGGCCAGGAGAGCTGGTGTGGGCGCAGGGCCTGCCATGTTGGGCCTCCGTCCCTTGTCTATAAGGGAGGGCACCCCGTTCTGCTGTGGGCTGTGTGTCCAGGGACTCCTCCGGAGGGCCCTCCTGGCGGTGCCTTGGTCCTGGGAAGCCACGCTCTGCTTGGAGACCCTCAGGATCGGTGCCAGGTTGGCTGTCTTTGCCGTGCTCCTGCATTCCCTGGAAGCCAGCACTTGCCCCAAAGCCCTCTCCGGGGCAGGGCGCTGGCCCTGGTGACTTCCAGGGCAGTGCTGGGGGCATAGGAAGGTCATGTTCAGATTACACGTGTGGGGGCTCCTTGTTCTTCCCGCCTTAGTCCTTGGGGAAAATCTGCTGCTTTGGGTCATTCTGGGCTGCCACATTGGGGTCTTGGCCAAATGTTGGTGTTTTGGCCCAGTGGCTGGAGGAGTTCCTAGGGCACGGGTCTGCTGTCCTCTGGCCTCATGTGTCCCATCTGTGAAATGGGTCTGAAACACAGTGACTTGGTGTCTAGGGCTGTGCAGGTCCCAAGTGGGTCCCAGGGCAGCCAGGCCGCTTTGTGGAGGGGGGCTGTTCTGCTTCTCTGCGCTCAGCCCCTGTCTGGGTGCCGTCTTCCTGCTTCCAAAAGGATAGAGTGGGAGGGGAGGCATCCAGAGTATCTTGGCTTCTCTGAAGTGTGGCTAGGCTGGAGCGTCCTGGGTGCTCCCGGTCTAGGGCAGGGGGCTGCCCTCCCTGGAAGCTGCCTCTGGGCGGGTTATGGTCCCACGTAACCCTGGACCGTGGATTTGGGCAGCGGGACACCTATCGAGTGGAGATGGGCTGCCCACTCAGCTGAGCCTCTAGCAGCAAGTGCGTCCATTTTTCCTGGAATGAAGATTCTGGGGGTGTGTCAGAAGCCATTCCTCGACTGGAGATTTCTTTCAGATCCCGTGTGCCCTTCTTCAGGGCCCCTGGATGTTGGCCCCTGGCCCCAGAGTGAAGTGCAGGGGAGACTTTCTCACTTATAGGCCGTGTAGCTGGCTGGGACACTTGCTTGTCACGTGAGAAGGCATGTTAGGCCTGTACCTGGGGCTCCCCCTGACCTCCGGGGACTTGGTCCTCGAGCACTTGGGGCATTGAGTAAGCAAATTCCACGGCTTGCTGCTCTGTGCTCTCCACGGCGGACACTCCCCTGACGCCCAGGCTCCCGGCGCCCTGGTGCACTTCCCTGGGGCGCTGGCTCTTGTCTTGGCCGGGCCTTCGGGCCTGACTGAGGCCTCCCGACTCCATGCTGCCGGGGGGCCCGGCTGGGCACGGAGCCCAGCTCTGCATCCTTTGTTGAAGGGGGAAACAGAGGCCCGAAGGGACGGGGCTGTGCCTTCTTGCACTGCGACTTCTCCCCTGCAGCCTGCTGCGGGACCCTGGCCTGCTTCCCTCAGGTCCCCGTGTCTTCACTTACAGTGTGTTGTGAGAGAGTCTCGTGAGCCCCGAGAATCCAGACACCTGAGGTCTTTTCTTCCTGGGCGTGGGGGTGGTAGTGTTCTAGGTGAGACGGTCCCACACGTGGACGCTGGGCATAGGGCCTGTCCTGCGGGTGTCCAGTTAGGCGCTCAGAGATAAAGCAGTGCCGGGGTGAAGTGGGGCTCCCCGTGTCTGGTCCTGGGATGGGCCGTGATCCCCTCTTCCTGGCCCACCCTGAGTGGGTGGGTGGGGGCCCAGGGGCCCCCTCCTGGGAGGGGCCCATATCTGCCTTGGGCACAGGCCCAAAGGTCTCAGCAGATGGTGGCGCTGGGCCAGGGCTCCCCCCACAGGCCTTCGTCCGCTCGGATGGGGTCATGGTCCACCCGAGGGGACGGAGGGCCTGAGTCCTGCGGCTGGAGCCCAGTGGCCTGGTTTCATGTCCGGCGCCCTGCTCTTCTCAGACTCCTTCCTCCTTCTCCCTCAGGGAAGGCAGCCCCTTCTCCCTGCCCACCCATCAGAGCATTGGCAGGAAAACATCCGGCCCGGACACTGGGGGTTTTGGCCGAGAGGGGACTAAAGATCAGCGGGAACAGGAGGTCCGTTGTGGAGGCCGGCCTGGCCCCCACGCCTTCCCAGGAGGCTGTCCGCGCTCCGTCGGGGCTGAATCCTTGGCCCAGCCTCTGGGAGGGGTGCTGGGGGCCGGCAGGGGCCCCGGGTGGCTGGGCAGGCGGGAGGTCTTGCCCTGGGCTGACACGTGCTTGGTTTTCTGGTTTATGGCCTTTTGGTCACAGTTAAAGGTCGCTTACTGGAGAAGGTAAGGGAAGGCTGGGAACGGCCACCCCATGAGGCCCAGACAGTGGATTTTCTGGTGTGCTCAGCTGAAGGCCCCCCGGGCCCTGACTGTCAGGACTTGCTGGGGTGGATGGCCAGCTCTGTTCCGTGACCGCCAGGGAGGGTGGCCTGGGGCGTCTTGTGCCTCCAACTCTGATGGTCTCAGGTATGGGTCCTTCACTCTCTGGGGCTGGGCCCTCATGTGTCTTCTGGGACCTGCCTTCACGGTGGTCCCCCTGGGGTTGCAGGGCATAGCCGCCATTAGATCTCAGGGAAGGGGTGGGGTGGGTACGTGGTCCGGGCTGGGGTGACGTCCCTGTATCAGCTCGCTGTGCTCAGCGTTTGGGATCTGCATTTGGGGGGCCAAGCGTGCTCCCTGACTGGGGTCCCAGATGAGTGAGCCCCTCTCCCCAGTGAGCGGTGACCCCATACCCTACAGGCATCTGACCCTGTCCCCTAGGCCCAAGGCTCAAGGGCTAGCAGAAGGGGTGGTGTAGACAGCGGAGCCCATGACTCTGGTCAGGTCGCACTGGATGGGGCTGTGGGGCAAACCTCCTGCCTCTCGCTGTGTGGTGTTGAAAGTTGGGGGCTCCCCTTTTCTTCAGGCCATCCTGTGGGTTTACAGCCAAGTCCGTTAACTTGGTTAGGTCCCTTAGTCTCTAGGGAGAGACCCAGGTCCTCGGCCACAGCCGTGATGGCTGGTGGTGGCTGTGTGTCGCTAGACCCCAGGCTTCTGGAAGGTGGGTCTGGGTGTGTCTGCTGGGGTGCCCGGGACGGGCCTCTGAGCCCTGATGGAGTATGAGATCCAGCTCAGGGACCTTGGGGAAAATCAGTGGCTCTGGCAGTGTGGGTCTCCCCTCTGAGCTGCCTCAGTTCACCCATCCGTAAAACGAACCATAATTGCACCCTCACAGGATAGCTGTGAGTGTTGCAGTGACCAGCACATGGGGTTCAGTAAATGCTGATGTTTGTCGTGGATGGTGCCCTGCCCTCGACTCTGCAGTGGTCAGGCCATAACCTGGGGAGGGGTGGAGGTCCCCAGCAGGGCGTTGCTCTACCCAGCCCAGCCCCGGACACCATGAGTAGCAGGAGCTTGGGGATTCTGTGCTCGGTGTCTCTTGTTTAGAAGGGGTGACAGCAATACTGGATCACACGCTCGGGTGGCTTTGCCCTGGAAGCATGCAGGTGGGGTGGTTCCTGCCAGGCAGACTCACGGTGGGAAGGTGAATGTCCTCTTTATAGGGTGCAGCTCAGACGCCCGGGCACAAACAAAGGGAGGAGGAAGGGAGGGGTGTGGGGACCCTGTGTGGGCTCCAGGATGGATCTGGGGGCTGAGGTGACGGGAATGAGGGTCCCAAAGATGTAAACATCTTGTTCTGGGGACTTGGTTAGTGTGGAGGCTGCTTTGAGAAGTTAATATTCAGTGTGTTCTTGGGGGAAAAATGCAGCTATTTCCTGGCCAGACAGAGGTGGTGGAACAGCTTGGAATCCTCACATACCCAGAAGCAGGTGCAATCATAAATCGCTGTTTGTTTTTCTTTGATAAAAACAGCCTGTCTGAGGAGAAAGTGGGTTCCCAGACTGGAGTGGCCGGTGTTAGGAGTGCTTTGCCAAGGGGACCGTGGCGGGGGTGGGTTTCTGGAGTGTCTGCCTTCCCCACCGTGGCTGGTCTGTCTTCAGTGGAAAACAAGCCTGGCCCCCTGCACCCAGAGCCTGGGGTCCTAGTACCCGCTCCCCTAAAGGAACTAGGTGAGGTACTTGCTGAGCAGAGGGGCCAGCTCACCTGTGCCTTGCTGCCTGCCCCCAGCCTCCCTGTGTCCCCCAGCAGCGTCCAGTGGCGGAGGGAAGCCGTGTGTGGGGGCGCATGAATGCTCAGAACTGGGGGCCGTGGCCTCTGACCTACCTGTTTGGACCCTGGGCCTGGGCCGGGAGAGGGGGCTGAGGCGGGCCTGGAGCTCCTGACGTGGAGGGCTGGCACGGTGGCCAGGCTCAGGCCGGGGTCCTCTTGGGAGGCCTGCTGAGGTGCACCCTACCCAGTGCCCTCGAGGGGAGGTTCACTCTGGGCCTGGGGGCTGGTTTTGGTAAGCTCAACACGCTGGTACCAGGGGTTGCTTGCTCCGGAAGGTAGCCCAGTGGCAAAGTTCCGAGTGCTTCCATACATGTGAAACCCTGGGGGGGCCGCGATCTTTGTCTCCATTTTATAGAGGGGCAAGTGGAGGCTCTCTGCCCCCATGTCCCAAGGATCAATCTCTCTCTCTCTTTTTCTCTCTCACTCTCTGTGGTGCTGGCCTCCTGGAGTGGTAGGTGCCTTGTGGAGCAGACCCTGCCCTCTGGCTGGGGCTGCTCATGCCTGAGGTCCTTTCTTCTACCTCTTCTCTCCTTAGAAAACCTCCCAGGCCTGGCCCCAAACTGGGCCTGGCTCCCACCCCACCTCTGAGCTCACACCTGGCCGTCCACATTCACACCTGAGGCCGCATCCCACTTCCCACGGCTGCTGGGCACCCAGCACCCTCTGCACTGCGGGTTAACCCTTAATGCAGCCCAGTGGCTACGGACGGGTCTGGGCAAGCCTTGGGGCCAGCTCACCTGTGGGGTGGCCGGTCCCACTCGCCTGGGGTCCTCTGGCTTCTGGAGTCCAGGCCTCTGCATAGGAACTCCCCCTCCCACCACGTCCCCTCCCCACTGTCCCCAGGCTGGGGGCTTCTGCTCTCCACCAGGGATCCCCTCACCCCTGCCAACTCCCTGATGCCTCCACACGCTTAGGGTGTGGCCTGGGTGGACCCTGCTCCCTTTCTGCCTCAGTTTCCCCTGGCAAATGGGGTGGAATGGATATCCCTGGGGGCCGTTTCCAGGACCGCACCCCAGTGTTGGCACAGATGGGAGCATCTGCCGTGTGCCCAGATCTGTGGGGTCCAGGGCAAGTGGGAAGATGGTGGTCCCGCCCCCGCTGGGGACTGAGCTCAGGCCTGGGCACTTGTGGGGGGAGCCCACTGGGGCTGCAGAGAGAGTCTGGGAGGAATGCTTCTAGTGTTCTGTATGTCCTTCGTGAGCTGGGATGAAGTGAGGCCACCGTGGATGCCAGGTGGGTGCGTATATGCGTGTGCACGGAGCTGTGTTCCCACGACAGGGCGTGTGCGTGCACTGCTGTGTGCACAGATGTGTATGTGTGGAGTGACGTTCCCATGACACAATGAGCCGGTTTCCCCAGGCCTGAGCTGGGGTCCGTAGGAGCTTGATTTCTAGGCTGCCTGGGCTTGTGCCCACGGGCTGGATCCGGCCGTTTCCTCCCGACAGACCCCGGGAGAGGCGCAGAGGCAGGTCCGCCATGCTGTGGTTCTGTGCCCAGGTAATTTGGGCTGACAAAGGAGGACGCCCAGTTGGAGGAACCACTGGCTCAGTTCTACGCTCTCCCCACCTTGGCCTCCTGGGACGACACCCTGGGGTCCCTGCCCATGTTTCTGAGAAGGCTGGGGTTTCCTAGGCCAAGGTCAGCTGTAGCCAGGGTCCCCAGGAAGGCCTCCAGCCTGGGACTGAGGCCGTGAGGTGGCTCCATCTCTATGGGGTCCTAATCTGTGGTCCACAGACCAGAATCCAGGTCCAGACCCTGACAGCCTTCTTGTGGGCCCTTGGGGCTGCGCTCCTTCCTCCTGGGGCCTCGGCAGGATGGGCGGGAGGGAGGCTGAGGCCGGGGCCACAGGCCACGTGCAGCAGCCCCTTTCCGTGGCCGTGGGTTTTTGTCCCTTTACTAATCAAGCGTGCGTTTGGAGGTTTTGTTGCCCCAGATGCCCCTAAGACCTGGGAGCGAACACCTTCCGTCCCCCGCCCTGCTCAGAGCTCTTACCTCGAGCGCCTCATGCAGGCCTCCTGCCCACTCACGCGAACGAGCCTTCGGGTTCCAGTTAACATGGGCTGAACCACAAATGCCGAAGGTTACTTTCCCACCTGGCACTCCTGCCTTTCTGCGGGGAGGAGGTTAGAGGTTGGAGGTCAGAGGTCAGCCTGCTGGCGTTGCCCTCCTGGCCTGGGTGGGGCCGAGCACGTACCCCTTTCCCGCTGACGCGTGCGAGGCGTGGCCGAGGTGTTCACGGCGGGGCTGTTGTCTCGGGCAGGTGGCCAAGGTGGAGTACATCAGGAAGAAGCCAAAGTTAAAAGAAGTGCAGGTGCGGCTGGAGGAGCATCTGGAATGCACATGCACAGCCAGCGGTCTGAACCCGGACCACCGGGAGGAGGAGACGGGTAAGCCCCGCCTCGGCCGCTGTCCCGCTCCTCGCCCTCGCCCTCAGCTCACTTCACAGGGAGTCCTCGGGGCCTGGCTTCCATGCCGAGGCAGGGCTTGGCGGGCGGTAGGGTCCGGTGCTGCCACCAGCCCAGCATGCAAGCCCAGGCGGCCTGCTGGGGGACGCTGGACGTCCCCACCCTGGTTGGGGCATCGGGTGCCCGGGAGCCGTGAGGCCGAGGGAGGCCCGACCCCGAGTAGGCGGCGCCTGGGGGCCTCTCGGCCTCCCCCTTGTCCCGGGCAGACTTCGCCCCGAGGCAGTGTGGCGTTGTGACCCGCTGTGTCGGGCTGGCTGGCTCAAGGGCACCAGGAAGTGTCTCTGTGCCAAAGCTAATTGAGTTTTCTTCCAGAAAGACAAACACCTCAGCTATTTATTGCCTCAGGTCCGCAGCCCTAACCCTTAGGCCCGCTCACCCTCCCTGCCCTTCTGTTAACAGGAAGGCGTAGGGAGTCAGGTAAAAAACGGAAAAGAAAAAGGTTAAAACCCACCTAATGCAGCCAACCAGGTAGGAGCTGTGTGCGGATGTGCCTCGGTCCTGTGGGTGGGAGGTGCACCGGCTGATCACACGGCGAATCCCTCCCGTGGCGGCGAGCTCGCGGTTCTGATTTATCGGCCCTGATCGGCCTGCAGGCTTCCGGTGTCTGGCTGGGCTGTGGGTCTGCTCGCTCATGTCCCCTGCTGCTCCGGAGTCCCCGCTCTGGCTTGGGTCTCTTGCGTTGATTGGGGAGGCCCCGGCGTCGCAGGACTTGGAGTGATTTGGGTTCCTGAACAGCAGTGGGGTAGCTCTGATGTTTATTAGCTGGGATCACCTTGGGCAGGTTACCCGTCCCATTTGACAGATGAAAGACTGAAGCTTACAGGATGATAGGTAAGGGAATTGAAGACGGCGTGGATCTTATCTGAAAATGTTTTATAGACGTGTAGGGCTGTTGGCTACTATGTTGGAAACTGGCTTCTGGTAACACACCGAAACCAGCAAGGGCTGAGGTGCCGTAGACGTTCAGGAGCAGGTGTGGCATCCTCCAGGTATCATCAGGGACCCTCTCCCATGTGGGACTGGGGCTGTCTATTCTCAGAGTTGCTTCATGGCTCGGTATGGCTGCTGAAGCTCCAGCAATCACATCTGCACTCCAGGCTGGAAGAGTAATGTTGGGAGACGGGCAAAAGAACCCTCTTCGAGAAGTCCCACCCAGTGACTTCTGCTCTGATACCCTGGCCATCCTTCAGCTGCAAGAGGACCTGGGCAGCGTAGTCTTGTAGAGAGGCATTCTGCTTCCCAGAGGAAAATGGGATTTGGGCAACCACAGTCATCATGGAGGCAGTTTCCAGCCTTCCTGCTCCATGTTGTTGACCTGTGTCTGCTCTGGAGAGCCTAGTACATGCCTCTGGCCATGTGTGAACCCATGGCATCCCAAACGGGTGGTTGTAGGAAAAATTCTCAGAGATCGTGTCTCAGAGTGCAGGTGCTGGTTCAGTGACCGCAGAAAGCTGCCAGGTCAGCAGTGTTGAGGCTGGCGGGTCTGGTCCATTCATAAGAATCCTCTGGGGGAGGAAAGGATCCAGTAGGGTGGGTTCCTGAAGCAGCCTCAAAACAATTTCTTGCCTGTGATTTTTGCTTTCCCCAAGGGTGTGGCTCTGGGGGTGGTTTTGTGCCTGCTTGTGTGTCCAGTCTGCACACCATTGACTGGGCTCTGGCCTCCATGGGCCAGCCGATGACAGAGACACCAAGTGAGAGGCAAGTGGCCTCCCTGCTAGCTTGTGGGTAGTACAGGTGTTGGGACAAGCAGTGAACAGGTAATGTGGATGGGGAAGAGCTGCTCTTAGCTCAGAGCTCAGTGTAGATCTGCTCGCCTGTCTGCCTGGTGGTATCCATCCTCAGGGTTGTCTCATGGCCCAGGATGGCTGCCAGAGCTCCAGAAATCAGATCAGGCCCTCTGCTGGCGGTTGGGGGGGGGGGGCCCGGGAGGAGGAACATGAGGAAAAAGACAAAAATATCCATCTGGGCCTCAGTTTCCCTCATCTGTACAATGGGAGAATGGGGCTTGTTTTAAGGAATGTTCTGTGAGATCCCAAGAGTCTAGTCCCAGTTCTGGTCAGGAGGTTACAGAAAGGGTACTGAGGCATATTTGATTTGAAAAATGCCACAAACCCCTCAAATCCTGAGATTTGTCCCCGTGTGTGTGAGTGTGTCCCCTGACTGGGTGAAGCGTCTCCCTGTGGTCCCTGTTCATGCTGCAGCGCGCACGCTCGGTCCCTCGTCAGTGTCTGTTTCTCTCCCCTCTCCTTGCAGATGTGAGGTGAGGATAAGCCAGCAGCCCTTTTCCGGGACACGGATGTACATGGCGTGTTACATTCCTGAACCTACTATGTACGGTGCTCATTGACAGCGTGCGGTCTTTGTTCTCCTCCGTGAAAAACCGTCTCCGTGCACACTCTGGAGAACAAAGAGACAGTACACATTTGTTTAATGTGACATTAAAGCAAGTATTGTAGCACTCGGTGAAACAGTAAGAAGCTTCCTTGTCAAAAAGAGAGAGGGAGAGAGAGAGAGAGAGCAAAGAGAACCACAAAACATGACAAACAAAACGGACTCACGAAAATACCTAAACAGTTGTTGGAATGGAGGGACACCCCCGTGGGATGGAAGCGACGTGCCTCGGCGGACCGGATCTCTGTCCAGGGTCACAGGTGCTTCTGCCAGGGACACAGCCTGCTTTCTGGAGGACTCCGGGCGGGGGCCGAAGGCCCCGCAGGGCACACGGGAGCAGGGGTATCTCAGAACCACCACGGGACTTAGAAACACATCTCCTTGCTGTAGTGTTTAAGTCTATCCAGAAACCTTCCCGAGAGCCTTAAGTGGATTTTTTTTTTTTTTTTTTTTTTTACACCATAAAGTGATTATTAAGCTTTCCTTTTTACTCTTTGGCTAGCTTTTTTTTTAATTATCTCTTGGATGACATTTACACCGGTAACACCAGGCTGCTGTAAGTCAGGACAGTGGGACCGTATTTCCCCTCGCAGGATGCAAACAAATGAGATGTATTAAAATAAACATGGTATATCCACCTATGCATCACTTCCTAAATGTTTCTGGCTTTACGTGTTTCTCCCCTGCCCCATTTTATCTTACTTCTTAATTTAAGCCATTTCGAGAGAACTGTGCGTGAACCAATCGAGTCCGTCGCAGCCCTCGCCACAGCGAGGTGGCCCTGTGCCAGTGTTTGGACAGAATCTAAATTCTTTATTTTTGGTAAGATGTTACGCTTTACATGTATTCAACAGAAATGTGTGTGTGTTGTTTTTGTTTTTGTTTTGTAAAGGTGAAGTTTGTATTTTTATCTAATATTACCAGTTTTGTATACCTGAGAGCCTGCTATGTTTTTTCTTTGAACCAAAAGGAAAAAGAAAAACCCACCAACAAAACCCATACACGTGAAAAGTGCTTTGTGGTCACATTTTTCTAGCTGCGTAACTGAGTCTAGACCCTGTCTCCTGTCACGGGGCCCGTTGCTCGGCGGTGCCCCGGGCCGCCCCATCACGAGAGCCTGTGCGGCGAGGCGTGCCCTTGGGATTCCGGAACTTGATGGGCCAACAGCGCCATCCTGCCCGGGTGTGTGGCCTCTTGGAGACGGCGGCCACGCGCCCAGCTGAGCAGCCAAGCAGACGATGGGCTTCATCCGGAAGTGAGTTGACTTCGGCATCCGCGGGCCGAGCCAGTGAGGGCCGGCCGCCCTGTGTCGCCCGTGACCCGCTCTCCCTGCTCCGAGCGGAGAGGCCGTGTGACTGTCACGATCCCCTTGGTGCCTGTGGGGTCTCCGGAGCGAAAGCGAGCGTCTCTGGTTGTCCGCGTGTTCATGGGAGAGTTTTTATAAAGGCATTCCTTCAGCAGCACATCTTCACGGTGTGGTTTTTGGTCCGCAGTTCGTGCGATGGGAGGCGGGGCGTAGGGGCTCGCGGGCGCAGGGGGCCACGTACCCTGGCTCCTGCTCGGCCGTGGGTGGTACCCGTGGAGGCTCCTCCCAGTCCCCCCGACCCCGGGCTGGGCGTCTCGCGGCTGCACTGCTCACGACACTGGGCCCTGGAGACGTGTCTCATGGTAGGTGGACAACGTGTGATTTATGTCTTATGTTTCCCTGAGATGCTGAGAGTACCCCCCCCCCGTTTTTTTTCTTTGCCCCGAGCTGGCTGTTGGAGGACCTGTTTATCTGTTAGGGCGCTGGAGCAGAGAAGCCTTCCTGCGCTTCTGGGGAGGGGACGGTGCCGGAAGAGGGCCCAGAGCCCCGGGGGCGGGAGCTGGCGGCTGTGGCGGGAACTTGCGTGTGTCTGTCGCCCCGGCCAGGTCCTGTGCTGCTGGGTGGAGCCGGGGTGGGTAGGGTGGCATCCACGCCCAGCCAGGAAGGGGCTGCCGCCCGGCGGAACCTACAGTCTGTGGCTGGATTGTTTCTGGATTGCAGGCCTATGCGGCGCATAGGCTCTGTTGTGGCTTTGCCCTGCATTCCTGGCATTTCTGCTCCTGCCTGGGCCCCTCCCGGCCTGTCACCCTGGGCTGCACCTGGGTGCGCCCGAGAAGTCACTGTCGGCTGGGGGCTGGTCCCTTGCACTCTTGAAAGCCTTGTGCCCTTGAGCCACGGGCCTCTCTACCTCCGTGTGTGCATCCGCACGGTGGGGACAGTGGCTCTGCATACAGCAAGGATTCTGTATGATGCTCACAGGGACCCCAGCACAGACCTCGGGGTCTTCGGCCTCCCTGTGCCGAAGCACGTCACACCCGCCCTTGGCATACCCTCCTTTTTGTGTGCCTGGGCCCAGTGTTGGCAGAGGAACAGAGCCCTGGGGTGGTGCCTCTTTCACGGGTGCACCTGCCTGGAGACCTCCAGTCGCCTGGTCACACCCGTCCTTGTCCTGCGCCGGGTCCCGCCAGATGCTGGTGGACTAGGTGCCTCTCCACCTTGCTCAGAGCAGCTCCCACTCCACACCCAGACTGGGTGTCCCGGTCTGCGAAGTGGGTGTGCCTGGCTGGGGAGTGGCTGTCCCTGGTGTGTCCCATGTGCTGCACTCCAGCCTGGGCCGGGCTCAGCCGCCTCTGGGGAGAGGCCTGTCGTGGGCACCTCCCACCTTCTGGGGATGGGAACGGACAGGGCACTGTGCCCTTGGCGTGCCCTTGACCCTCGGGGGGGATCCTGAGCAGAGAAGCAGAGGAGGGGGCACATTTTGCTCACCAGGGGAGGGGGCAGCAGGTAGGGTTCTGCCAGGGGCCAGGGGCCCGCCCTGCCTCCCTGGCTTCAGGCTAACCAGGCCGGAGACACTGCGCAGTGCTGGAGCCTTGGCTGGTGCGGCGAGTGTCCCGTGTCAGCACGCGGTCTGCCTCCAGAGCCGCCACTGTGGAACCGGGTCAGCAACGGCTGCCACCTGGGCCCCCAGGGAGGGCAGCATGCTCCAGGTCAGAGGAGGAAGAAGCTTCCCCCTTCCCTTGGGCTCCGACCGGTCACCCGAGCAGATCCTCCCTGGGCACGTCCTGCGTGCGCGGCTGTCTGCAGAGCTGAGCTGGGGTTCTGGTAGTAAAGCATGGCTGACACAGTGTTCTGCGGGTTCCACGTGCACCACACAGGGATTGGACCGTTCTCTCTGTTACTCCAGCGTCACTGACTGAGCTCCCTGTGCTGTGTACTCCTCATCCCCGGACTTTCTTGTTCTGTAACCCCTTCCCCCATTTCGCCCGCACCCCCCACCCCCAGCAGCACCGAGTTCTATCTCCTCCCTGTCATCGCTGCCAACACCACGTCACACACAACACAGGCTGGCCCACCTTTCACGCCAGGTGCTCCCAGCCGAGCTGAAGCTCCAGGGTGGAAGGCTCTCCTCCACCTGCTTCGCTTCCCCTGGAGTGGAGCCAAGACCCCTGGTCCCGGGGCCAGGCCCCTGACGGGTGTCGGGGTTGTGGGGACTGCAGTAACGGTGCCGTCTGTACCAGGGCCTGTGACCTCGTGCAGATGGAGACAGAAACTCCGATGCTCAGGCGTCCCCCGAGGCAGCAGCTGGAGGTGGGACTTGAATCTGGCCCCCTCCCCGCTCAACATCCGCTTGGGCTCCTGGCCGCAGCTCCCCTGGGAAGCCTGCTGTTGTCCCCGTCTAGCCCCCACCAGCTGCATCCCAGGTGGTTCCCAAATGACATCCGTCCTGGGGCTCCGGGGACCAGGGCCTGGCAAGGCTGTGGTGGGCACCCCAGGCCCTGCCTGCAAAGCCCTCTGGGGAGGGAGGCAGCAGGGTGATGCATGTGGGTCTGCATCCTGCCCGCCGTGTGGCCCATTTTATAGAGGCACAGACTGAGACTTGGCGTTTCCCTCTGTGGCTGGGATGGGTCTGCATTAACTGAGCGTTGCATTAAAAATTCAGTTAGCCTCAGTGCCTTGATGCTGTGATAGTTCATTTTTGGCAGTGACATAAGGTAATTTTTCTTTACTTCAATTAACAATTCAGATGGAACAGGGTCAGGCAGGACCTGGTGGCTGAGTGGCTGGCAGCCTTGATGGGACCCCTGGGCCTTGGCCAGGCTTTGGGGCCAGTTGCACTCCCAGGTGATGGTCGGTGGCCGGCCATGTGACCTCAGAGCTGTTGGGCTGGGAAGTTGGGTGCTGGGTCACACCTTTAGCCCGGGTTCCCCAGGGCAGAGCCTGAGAAGGGCTGCTGGGCAGATAGTTCCTTGGAGAGGAGATCCAAGGATGAGGCAGGGAGCAGGGAGCCCTGGGCACCAGCCGCTCCCGCCTCTGGGCTCCGTCCCATGGGACCCCGAGGGGCCTTGCAAAATGCCTCTCGGAGCTGTTACCAAGGCGAATGTGGACGCGTTTGTCCACCACGGTTGTGCACGGTTGTGCGCATGTGAGTGCTCGGTTCTCCAGGGTCCCTCCTGGTCCCAGAGGAGGCAGGCAGGGGGCCCGAGGGTGCTGTCAGGCTGCCTCTGCTGGGGGTGGGGGGAACGCCTGCATGGGCCTGAGTGGGTGGGCCAGGAGGAGCCAGTGTCTCTGGGGCTGGGGCTCCATGGGCAGGCATCCCCGGGGGCCCATGAACTGAAGCAGAGTGTGAGCCCTGAGCCCATCCTGGCCGAAGAGGGGTCTTTATAAAGAAGTCCCTCTTGGACCCTTTGCGTCCACTTGTTGGGGGCAGCCGAGGGTGGGGTGTGAGAATGTGGCTCTCTTGGGCTCTTCTGTGCCCTGGACCACCTGGTAGTGGGACCTTGGGTATCTCATATGACCTTGGATGACCTTGCCATGTGACTGTAGGTGTCCTCACCGTGTGACCTTGGCAGGTCCCTCCCCACTCTCGGAAACCATGGCTGGACAGCTTTGCTGGTGTATGCAAAGGGCTTGGCCCCGAGCAGGCCCTCGGGATGGAGTCCCGTAGGGGAGGAGCTGCTGTCCAGGCCAGGGGAGCATGAATAGGAGGGTGCGCAGACCCCAAAACGGTCTGTCAAACCCACCTGTCCACCCACCTGAGCAGCTTCTCGAACAGGGATGGCAGAGTGTACGAACTCACACACCCGTCCATCTTCCTCGCCAAGCTGCGAGCACAGAACGTGCGGAGGAGGTGCAGGGTGGGCCAGGTGGCCTCCAGGTGAGAGGGCCTGGAAGCTTGTCTGCCCACCCCTGCCAGTCCGGACCATCTCGCCCTGTTTACACCTTCAGCTGAAGCGACTGCCTGGGTCCCAGTCTGTCTCCTCACCAGCTGGGGACTCCCAGAGGCAGGGCTGGGGGTCTGGGTCTTTTCTGGGTTCATGAAGGGAGGCCTGGGGGCCCCTGGGGTCCTTCATCTCCCATTGTCCTGGCGGCACCAAAGCAGGATTCACCCTGGGGCACCCAGCCTGGCCTCGGAGGTGACAGCGGTGAACAGGACCTGGCCTGTCACCCCCTGGTGCCCAGCCCCTGGGCGGGGGCAGTTGGACTCCACCCCCACTCCCTGCAGGGCACTGGGACGCAAAGCATGTGGTTTCTGCAGAATAAAACGGTGACTGTTTCCAACCAGGCCCTTGAGCCGCCAAAAAATGTGGAGTATTCGCTATCTGGCCCCTGGCCTGCCGATCAGTGGGCAGCGTTCCTGGGAGGACTGCCCCGCCATGCACCAGACACCAGTCCCTGCTGGGCTGGCAGCCTGAGGCCCCTGCCTGGTGTACCCTGGGGGATGAAGCAACCCCCCCCCCCCCGCAGCCCTCTGGCTCCCAATGGGGCTCCACCAGGTGCTATACTGCCCAGAAGGCCCTCTGTGGTTCCAATGTGCAGGGAAGACAGACAGACAGACAGAAATCCTTCTTTCCCCTCTGAGTTTCTCCTAGACAGTCCCTAGGTGGGGTCCCACTGCAGGCTTCAGGTTTGGGC